CCAGAAATTCCGTCATCATGACGGGGTTTTGTGTAAGTGTAAGTTTATACATGGCCGTATCTACACATACATGGAGTTATCTCTTAGTTATGAAATTGCTTTCCCGATATGGACCTGTAGAAGCTTGCATTTCAATATTCCCCGGTCTAATTAAAAGATACGAAAAAAGGTCTTTTTTTGAGATTTTTTTCGTAAATTTTGAAATTTCGAAAAAATTTCGACAGTGATTGTCCCATTCGTAGTGGACGTTTTTGTCCCCACCCCGGTTTTGTCCCCACGACGGTTTTGTCCCCAGGACGTTTTTGTCCCCACTTTTTTCGAGCCTTTTTGTCCCCAGACCGGTTTTGTCCCCAGGACGGTTTTGTCCCCAAGACGTTTTTGTCCCCAGTTTTTTTATTTTTTTGTCCCCACACCGGTTTTGTCCCCAGAACGTTTTTGTCCCCAAGCTGGATAGTACGATTAAAGATTATGCATTCAGATGTTAATGCTGTTGGTTTGGTGCACAGTACTGCTCAAACAACTTGTTCTTAGCGCTTGGTACTGTATAGTACGAGGTGCCGAACACTTTGATATTATACTAGGCACCGGTTTAAAAAAAATTAAATTAGAGATGTCGGAGTGAATTGACGAGACCTACACCATTTGAAATGGCACAGAATAAAATTTCAGATCCGCAAGTTTCGCCTTTTTTGGAGTCAAATTGCGCCCGTACCAGGCCGAACACTTTGATATTATACTACTTACCGGTTTAAAAAAAATTAAATTAGAGATGTCGGAGTGAATTGACGAGACCTACACCATTTGAAATGGCACAGAATAGAATTTCAGATCCGCAAGTTTTGCCTTTTTTGGAGCCAAATTGCGCCCGTACCAGGCCGAACACTTTGATATTATACCACTTACCGGTTTAAAAAAAATTAAATTAGAGATGTCGGAGTGAATTGACGAGACCTACACCATTTGAAATGGCACAGAATAGAATTTCAGATCCGCAAGTTTCGCCTTTTTTGGAGCCAAATTGCGCCCGTACCAGGCCGAACACTTTGATATTATACTAGGCACCGGTTTAAAAAAAATTAAATTAGAGATGTCGGAGTGAATTGACGAGACCTATACCATACGAAATGGCACAGAATAGAATTTCAGATCCGCAAGTTTCGCCTTTTTTGGAGCCAAATTGCGCCCGTACCAGGCCGAACACTTTGATATTATACTAGGCACCGGTTTAAAAAAATTAAATTAGAGATGTCGGAGTGAATTGACGAGACCTACACCATTTGAAATGGCACAGAATAGAATTTCAGATCCGCAAGTTTCGCCTTTTTTGGAGCCAAATTGCGCCCGTACCAGGCCGAACACTTTGATATTATACTAGGCACCGGTTTAAAAAAAATTAAATTAGAGATGTCGGAGTGAATTGACGAGACCTACACCATTTGAAATGGCACAGAATAAAATTTCAGATCCGCAAGTTTCGCCTTTTTTGGAGTCAAATTGCGCCCGTACCAGGCCGAACACTTTGATATTATACTACTTACCGGTTTAAAAAAAATTAAATTAGAGATGTCGGAGTGAATTGACGAGACCTACACCATTTGAAATGGCACAGAATAGAATTTCAGATCCGCAAGTTTCGCCTTTTTTGGAGCCAAATTGCGCCCGTACCAGGCCGAACACTTTGATATTATACCACTTACCGGTTTAAAAAAAATTAAATTAGAGATGTCGGAGTGAATTGACGAGACCTACACCATTTGAAATGGCACAGAACGACATTTCAGATCCGCAAGTTTCGCCTTTTTTGGAGCCAAATTGCGCCCGTACCAGGCCGAACACTTTGATATTATACTAGGCACCGGTTTAAAAAAAATTAAATTAGAGATGTCGGAGTGAATTGACGAGACCTATACCATACGAAATGGCACAGAATAGAATTTCAGATCCGCAAGTTTCGCCTTTTTTGGAGTCAAATTGCGCCC